TGTATCACCAAAGTCAGACCTGTCAGCAAAAAGAAAAAGGATAAGTGCAAAAGCCCTCCCAAGCCGAACAGCGTCCGAAAATGTTTACAGTAACCCACCAGAGTGTCAACAATAACAGGTACAAGTTCCGAGCATGCGTAACGATCAATTCCTAAACGGCTCACTGCATGCCAGAACGATCTCCGTAACATTTTACGTATAATGAACCTTCAATAACCAGATTGAAGGGATTGCGCGAGCAATTGCGAATGAGATCAAGCACTAACCCTGAATCAACAGCGCTTGGCACAACACCATCAGCCAAAGCCATGACTATTCCTCTCATATGATCCGCAACAATGCGATACGACGCGTCGCGTTCATTGGTATCTGCCGAACCAATGCGGCCACCATATGGATCCATTTTAGAGAGCTGTAATAAGGCCTTGACATGCGCAGTTTGGCTTGATGGGGACACCAAATAGTACTCAGCCAAGCTTGCACAGTCCACCTTGTGAAGATCTGTAAACTCCTGTGACCAGAGCGGCTTACTCGCCCAATTTCGCAGCTTCACAGGAGTTCACAGGTACTGCCAAAGTGTGACCTGTTATATAACATGTTCCAACGAAAGGAACGAGCCAAAATGCCAAAGACCCCTTCAAGGCGAACAGCTTCTCTGACAATCCTACTTTTGCAGCTTTGCCAATAGCGCACTAATGAGTGAAACAAGTGTAATAATTGCTTCACAAGTAAAATGAAACCATAGATTTCAGGATGGAAACCATCTTCAACCTAACATCAAGCTATTCTAGATTCTTGAATAAACCTGAGTCACACCAGTCCCTCTGCCAGTAGAAGATATGTTCTCCAAGTACTTTCTCTGGGTGTGGAACGCTATCTCCACGATGCGGCCACGCGGCCACAAGCGATATTGCGTGCGCGGCATCCGCGGTCTTAATGATTTCAGGCGGAAGTGTTGCAAGACGTCGACTCAACAAAGTAGGACATTCTTGGATAGCTAGTTAGCTAGCATGGTCCGCTGTGCCGGTGCCGCGCCGACGCGGGGGACTATCATGTCTCTTAGTTAGTTGACTCGACATACTGTAGTACTCCTCACGTTGAATCAGTTATGTGCTTTGCGAACACTGCGTGCATTCTCGCCCAGTTTCTATCAGTTGTCAAGATCAGTTCGGTGACTTTTGACTAAATAGTCCTTCTGAGGCATTGTTCACAGTCTGCGGTCCAGCGTTTCTCTGGAACGCGGCGGTTCGGCGAAAAGCTTTCGATACGTATCGACTGGCGGTTGGGCGAAAGGGTTTTGATACGAATCGACGGGCGTTTCGCCAAACCGCGACGTTTTTCGCCTTCGACGAAACGCTAGCTCGATCGCCGTGGCGTTTTTCGCCAGCGAAATCGATACGCATCTATTGCTTTTCGCCCAACCGCCGAACCGCGGCGGTTCGGCGAAACTAGCGGTTGGCGATTCTCCGATCGATGACTATTTTTTGCTTTTCTCCCAACCGCCGTTTCGTCAGGGTCGCAGACTGTGAACAATGCCTGAACGACAGCGATATATTCAGCAGGGCACGTCCTGCAGCTGGGAGAAATTTTGTAAAGTATCACCCCCCCCCCACGAAAAATCCTCCTATAAAACGAATTCCTTCACAACCCTCCCTACCTAAGTTTTCCACACTTCCTTAGCACCAGTTTTCTGAATACTTTCCGTTCCCTACCCCCTCCCCCCACCCACCTCGAAAAAACTGCTGTCGTGTCGATGAGGGGGGGGGGGAGGGGGGCTAGGTGCATCTCCGCACGGTGAAAGTGGGAAAAGTCGAGAAGAATCAGTCCATGCGCCACATTTTTCACTGAGTCGAATACGATCCCCTTCCCTTCCTCGCTGAGGATCCCCATCGCACGACGTGCCGTGATATCCACCTGCCAGAGCATTGTTCAGATCTCACTGTAGGCATACGGAAAATCGTGGGGAGACGAAGCTTTCGGGTATCCACAAACAAGATAGAGGCAGACAAAGACTATAAGGGTATTACCACGGAGATATATGGCCTGGACATGGCGAGAATGTGTCGAAGTTTGAAGGACATTGACATAATCTGAGGCTAGGCGTTTCCACAGCCCATACGAGGATATGGATGAAGGGCACAGCAAGGTGACTATCTAGAAATTCTGAAATTCAAACTTTTCAACGACCTGGAGAAGATAAACAAATACAGGAATGCTTCAAGGCTTTTTCAAAGGCGTAGTTGTGGCTCGCGAGGGGCATTTTCCTGAGTTCAGATCGGTCACTGCAATGCCGCCGCTTGGGAAGATTGTGATTTCTGTGAAGGTATGCAATACGCAACCGAGTTCCGACTTACCTTGACAAAGTCTACAGGTCCTCACACAGAAGTAAGCAACGTGTAAATTCAGCAGATCCTAACAAAAAAGAAGATCTAACGAAAGTGCGAAATGCCCCTCCCAAGCCAAACAACGCCATTTTTTCATAGAGAATCGTCACGAATACCTACCTGTTCAAAGAAATGAATACGATACTTCACAAGCTCGCACGATCCGAAATCGGTCTACTTACACCAAAATGAGGCGACATCGCTTCGCGGTGGATCGCGATCGATCGAAAAAAATCTCGCTGGATGGCCCACACGGACCAGTAACACCCATTTCCCAGAAGTTTTCCTTTTCAAACGGCAGAACATGAGATTCAGGTACCCTAAGCTTTGACAATTTCTTCATATTTCTTAGGCTGAGAAAAACAAGCTAGGTACCGCCGCCCAGTGAGCAAATTCTCAGTTCTCGTCGGCTGCAAGCTTCGATTCTTGTTTGAGCCACCAAAGTACTGTGACATATCAAACGAGATGGATCAATGTTTAGGATATCCGTAAGAAAGTACCACGCTAATCTGCACGCATCTTCCTGGAATTTCGAAAATTATCCAGTGATCAAGAGTGACTGTTCTTAAATAATTAGCAAGCCGTGAAACCAACGAACGCTTTGATGAACTATCGATAAGGGAAGAAATACCTTGGAGTAAGAATTGTTAAACGACCAATTGCCAAGCATCTCGAAGAACGTCTGGTGATGGAGATCTCGCCCACGCTCTAAAACATGGTTTAAACATGCGCTAATAGCTAATAGCACGGAGCATTCAAAGGCAGTCGCCAGATTTCTTGGTAGAGGACGGTCTAACGTCACGTGACATGTGGAAAGGCTCGGTGGTTGTAGCCAACGCCTCTCGAGCCTCCTATCAAATGACCGCTGGCATAACACCGGCTCCCAGCCGTCGTGGCCACTTCCTTGAAGATATCTCGGTGCAAAGCTGGAGCTACCCTCACAGCTATGGCGTTAGTACTTGAAAACTCCATTCTCTAAGGCCGCGTTCATACCGTGCGACGTCGTCGTCAACGTCGACGAAAGCTGCGTAAGCTGCGTAAGTTGCGTAAGCTGCGACTGGTTCGTGAATAATACATACGTATCGATCCAACGAAAGCTGCGTAAGTTGCGTAACCGACGACAGCTAACCGATCGATACGTATCTATTCTTCTCGAAGTTGTCGTCGGTTACGCAACTTTATGCAGCTTACGCAACTTACGCAGCTTACGCAACTTACGCAGCTTTCTTTGGATCGATACGTATGTATTCTTCACGAACTAGTCGCAGCTTACGCAACTTACGCAAAAGACGTCGCACGGTATGAACGCGGCCTTAGTTCTTTTGGGCCGAAGCAAAAGTTTTTGCTTCTGTGACAGTAATCCCAGTGTTTCATGCGGAATCCTTCAAGTCCCTACCCCGCGAGGTTATTAGCACTCGAAGATCAAAAAAAGGAAAGAGGAAGAGGGCTGGTCCATAGTAGGTCAGTTCTACAGTACAATAATGTACGTGTGCGAAAGTACAGCCTTGTTCAGCGCGGATGCTGGGGCGTGTCAGGGGGCCCGATTCCGCGCGGCGTCAGCCCGTTTTTCAAGAGGGCAAGCTGCAAGAAAGTGAGGTAAGCAGGCTGGCGCTGCGCCAAACCAAGCGCTTCTGACACCCTCAGTATCCGTAGTAGAACAAGACAGCATCAGAACTCTTGTGACGTCGCACATGCCCAGTAATTACGAGAACGTGGCGGCTCACGACATAACTCTGCCCAACCCATCTCATTTTTTCGTGTTGAACTCTACTCGCTTCCAGATAGGGATTTTCACTCGAACCTGGAGGCAGGGATCTTGAATGTGGGTAAAACTAGTCCTTCAGCAGAGGGGTTCTCGTACTTTGCAAAAAAAATACTCAGCAACCTCGGAGCTCCTGTTCGTTACCCTTCGGTAGAAAAATTGAAACTAAGCTCTGAAAGTCGTCCTATATTTCAAAAACGAAGAAACTATGTGAAAAGGTAACTACGAACCTCCCAAGTCTAGCACCATGGAAACTATACCCTGTGTTTTCCTATACAGCCCCCTCCCCATAAAAATTCATTCAGTGACCATCTTATTACTATTCGTAGGTCGCTATTAACTTCTTTCAACAAGCTGTTGACATTGACAAATCGAATAATCTTCATCATAAGTTCTTTGGGGAATTGAGAGCGATACTCACTTCGAGGTCATTATGCTTTCCTCCAGCTCGAAGACATTTCTGGTAGCTGACAGCTCGCTCGAGAAATGCCCATCTGTTGTCTCGGCTGCCCAAAAACAACGATTTGAACTGAAAGTTCCACGGAGAGTTATACGTGAGTTGAAGACCCTTTAACATGCGATCCCGTAGAAAGAAAGGAAGGTGGTGGAAAAGCAAGTGGCTCAAGTGAATGAAAAGTCTTATAAGTATTACGCGAAGTAGACAGAACTTTGTGTAACGTAAGGGAACCGGCAGTCCCCAAAAACACACTTCGCTTGAAGTAGAAGAAATCGATTCTTCTCTATTATAGTGTTTCTTTTTCGCTGATTCGGCGCAGATCGGCTTGGCGGGGGCAACAAATGGTAAGCAGCGAACTTTGTACTGGCCTTCTTGAAGGACCTGTAAAGATCCGTAACTTCAGTAACTAAGTGGTTAACTTGTACCATTCAACAGCTTCGGGAGAAGTTACAGGTCTTAGCAGAATAAGAAATGCTAGTAACTGAACTAGCGGAGGATAAAATTATAAATGCTCCCTTGGACGTCGCACAGCGCCGCGGATGGCCATTTCCTTTCCACTTCTTTCCAAGAAATCTCCAGCATTCTCTCTCTATCTCTCTTTCAGACTCTTTGGGCAATGCAACGCATTGTTGTGCGGAACCTGTCAGGCGGTTGTATTTAGTCAGTGGGGCAGGAAGATCGTAGATGAACACGAGGG